TCTACCTCCCAAATGCTGGGATTAAAGGCGTGTGCCACCACCGCCCGGCTAGGGGCCATTGTTTTATTGAGTATTTTTGCCTCTACATAAGGGAAATTGGTCTGTAATTCTCTTTCTTTCTTAAATCTTTGTGTGGTTTGGGTATCAGGGTGAGTGTGACCTCATAAAATGAATTTGACAATGTATTGTTTCTATTTTGTGGAATAATTTGAGGAGTGTTGGTATTAGCTCTTCTTTGAAAGTCTGGTAGAATTCTGTACTAAAAACAGAATTCTGTACTAAAATTCTGGCCCTGGGCTTTTTTGGTTAGGAGATTTTTAATGACTGCATCTATTTCCTTAGGGGCTATAATTTTTTTTCTGTTGTTTATCTGATAATGATTTAACTTATCTAAGTGGTATCTGTTGAGAAAATTATCCATTTATTTTTTAGATTTTCCAATTTTGTGGAGTACATGATATGTCTCCCTCATGTTCCTGGTATTGTTAATCTGGATGCTCTCTCTTGGCCTTTTAGTTAATTTGGATAAGGCTTTGACTATCTTTAATGATTTTCTAAAAGAACCAACTCTCTTTCATCGATCCTTTTATTGTTCTCTGTTTCTATTTTATTGATTTCAACCCTTGATTTTATTATTTCCTGCCATCTCCTCCTCTTAGGTGAGTTTACTTTTTGTTCTAGAGCTTTTAGGTGTGCTGTTAAGTCACTAGTGAGCATTTCTCCAAATTCTTCATGCAGGCTCTTAGTGCTATGAATTTTCCTCTTAGCAATGGTTTCATTGTGTCCCATAAGTTTGGGTATGTTGTGCCTTCATTTTCATGGAATTCTAGGAAGTCTTTACTTTTATTTCTGTCTTGACTCAGTTTTCATGCAGTAGAAAGATGTTCAGTTTCCATGAGTTTGTAGGCTTTCTCTTGTTTCTGTTCTTGAAATCCGATAGGATGCAAGAAGTTATTTCAATTTTCTTGTATGTGTTGATTTGCTTTATGTGGTCAGTTTTGGAGAAGGTTCCATGAGATGCTGGGAAGAAGGTATGTTCTTTTGTGTTTGGGTGAAATATTGTGTATATGTTAGGTCCATTTAAATTTTAACCTCAGTTTACTCCAGTGTTACTCTGTTTAGTTTCTGGCTGTATGACCAATTGGCAAGAGTAGAGTATTGAAGCCTCCCACTGTTAGTGTATGACTGTTAATGTGTGATTTAAGCTTTAGTGATGTTTCTTTTATAAGCTTGGTTGTACCAGGCCTTTTCTTTTGGGCCATCAACCAGCTCCCAAATCATGACATGGAGACTTCTTATTAGTTTTGCATGCTTGGCCTAGCTTAGGCTTGTTTCCTGGCTAGCTTAACTTAGTCTGCCTTCCTTCCTTCCTTCCTTCCTTCCTTTCTTTCTTTCTTTCTTTCTTTCTTTCTTTCTTTCTTTCTTAAGATTTATTTATGTGTACAGTGTTCCATCTGCATTTATGCCTGCATGCCAGAAGAGGGCACCAAATCTCATTACAGATGGTTGTGAGCCACCATGTGGTTACTGGAAAGGGAACACAGGACCTTTGGAAGAGCAGGCAGTGCTCTTAACCACTGAGCCATCTCTCCAGCCCCTTAATCTCATTTTCTTTATCTACCTTTTACCTCGGGGCTTTTTACCTTTTTTTCTTTCCTGCTGTCTTTGGCTGGCCTCTCTCTCTTCTCCCTATTTTTTCCTCCTTCCTCTATTTCCCAGATTACTTCTCCTGTTATTCCGTCTACCAGCGCCACCAGTCCCTAGCTGTTGGCCATTCAGCTCTTTATTGGACCAGTCAGGTGCCTTGTCAGGGAAGGTAAAATAGCAATATATTCTTTCATAAGTAAACAAATGTAACACATCTTTACATAGTTAAATATTTCACAACAGTGGGCACCCTAGAATTTGGACATTGATAGTAAGAATTGAAAGATCCTCTTGATTGGTTTTTCCTTTGGTGAGGATGAAGTGTCCCTCCCTATCTCTCTTGATTATTTTGAAGACCATTTTGTTAGTTATTAGAATGGCTACACTAGCTTGCTTCTTAGGTCCATTTGTTTGGAAAATCTTTTACCAGGCCTTTCCTCTGAGGTAATGTCTATATTTGATATTGAGGTATGTTCTTAGATGTAGCAAATGGATGGATTTTTTTTTTTTTTTTTTTAAGATTTATTTTGTACACAGTGTTCTGCCAGCATGTATGGCTGCACACCAGAAGAGGGCAACAGATCTCATTATAGATGGTTTGTGAGCCACCATGTGGTTGCTGGGAATTGAACTCAGGACCTCTGAAAGAGCAGCCAGTGCTCTTAACCTCTTAACCTCTGAGCCATCTCTCCAGCCCCCTGGATTTTGTTTTTAAATCCATTCTGTTAGTCTGTGTCTTTTTATTGGGGAATTGATATTGAGATAGATCAATGATCATTGATTGTTCCTGTTTCTTTGTTAGTGCATGTTTCTTTTGACTTTGCTAGTAGGAAATGATTTCCTATGTTTTCATGGGAATAGTTAATTAAGATTATTATCCAACTTAAGGGTTGGAGTTTTCCTTTTAGTACCATTTGAAGGGCTGGACTTGTGGATAGATAGTTTAAATTTGACTTTATCATGGTATATCTTGTTTCCTCCATCTATGGTGATTCAAAGTTTTGCTGGGTATAGTGACCACTGACATCTGTGGTCCCTTAGAGTCTGCAGGACATCTGTTTAGGCCCTTCTGGCTTTTAGAGTCTCCATTGAGAAGTTGGTTGTCTTTCTTACAGGTTTGCTTTTATATGTTACTTGGTCTTTTTCCCTTACAGCTTTATCGTGTCTTTATTCTGTATGATTAGTGTTTTGATCATTATGTGGTGAGGAGACTTTCTTTTCTTGTCCATCTATTTGGTGTTCTATATGGTTCTTGTACCTTTATAGGCATGTCCTTCTTTAGGTTAAGAAGCTTTTCTTACATGATCTTGTTGAAAATATTTTCTGGGCCTTTGAGCTGAGATTCTTCTCCTTCTATTCCTATTATTCATAGGTTTGGTCTTTTCACAGTGTCCCAGATTTCCTGAATGTTTTATGTCAGGAATTTTTTATATTTAACATTTCCTTTGGCATATCTGTTTGTTCTGTCCAATCTTCAATGCCTGAGATTCTTTCTTCCATCTCTTGTATTTTGTTGATGAAGCTTGCCTTTGTAGTTCCTGTTCACTTACCTAGAATTTTCATTCCAGAATTCCCTCAGGTTGTATTTTCTTTATTGCTTCAATTTCCATTTTCTGGTCTTGAACATTTTTGTTTCTTTCAAATCTCTGTCTCCCTCTTAAGGAATTCATTTATTTCCTGATTTTTTTTTGTTGTTGTTGTTAGTCTTTTTCTTGGTTTCTTTAAAGGATCTGTTCATTTCCTCTTTAATGACCTCTGCCATCTTCATAAAGTTGGTTTTAAGGATGTTTTCTTGTATGTCAGTTGTGTTGGAATACTCACGGCTTTCTGTGGTAGCATAGCTGGGCTCCGTGGTGCCATGTTGCCCTGGTCGTTACTGTCTCTTACACTGGCACCCAGGCTCTTGGGTTTGGGTGATATAGGTTTAGGTGCCGATTTCTGAGTTTGTCTTTGTTGGATGGGTATTTTATTCCTTGGTTTCTGTTTCCTCTCTGGTCTTCAGGTCTGTGTGGCCTGTGGTTGAGCAGGGGGTCTCCCCCTGAATTGGAGGTTGATGGTCTGATCCAGGAAGGTGTGTCTCTGCTTGTGTTGGGGGCTGGGGCAAGGGGATGAGGAGAGGGGATGTTGGGAATAGTGTCGGGGTTTGGGGGCATTGAGAGAGTTGGTGAGGTCTGATGTCAGAGATTTATTTATTATGTACACAGTGTTCTGCCAGCATGTATGTCTGCACACCAGAAGAGGGCACCAGATCTCATTATAGATGGTTTGTGAGCCACCATGTGGTTGCTGGGAATTGAACTCAACCTCTGGAAGAGCAGTCGGTGCTCTTAACCTGTGAGCCATCTCCAGCCCCAAAGGCTCTGGTCTTAAGAATGTTTTTCACTCCTGTTTTCTGTGGGTGTATGTCTGGCATCTAAGCAAAAGTATGAGGACAGCTTGTTGGGGTTTTCCTCTTGTCATGCTCATCTTGGCTATCAGTGTTGGGTCATCAGGCTTGGTGGCAAAGCACCTTTACTTGATGGACCATTTCACCAGCCCCCCAAACAAAACTGTATCATCATTTTTTTATAAGCCTCAAATTTGTATCAAGATATTTTAAGTGAGAAAGACTTTAAAAGTGTAATTTCTTTAAAAACTGTACTTTGTGTTCTGAGCTCTCCCAGTGTGTCTTGTTAAGAGAACTCAGTCCTAACTGCCCTTCCCAGGTGTGAGCACACAGGGTCCCAGCACTTCCTGTATTAGATAAGGGCCTTCGCAGAAGTCAGCCAAACTTCTCTCTCATTCCGCAGCCCTCCTCTCAAAAACAAACAAAAGCAACTGTCCTTTCGAACATGGTTTTTCTGTCTCCTTTTCAGGACTATCCTCCTAAGTGTAATCTCACTGCTTAATGAGCCCAACACCTTTTCCCCAGCCAATGTGGACGCTTCCGTTATGTTCAGGAAATGGAGGGACAGTAAAGGGAAAGACAAGGAGTACGCCGAGATTATCAGGTGAGTCAACTTGGTGTTCACATTCAAACCTCAGTATCATGTTACTTTAAAACAATGTCTCAGATTTATGGAGTAGGAACCTAATGGATTTAGCTATGGAAAGAGAATCCATTACAGAAACCAAAACAAACTCACTAGAAAGTAGTGCAAACTCTGGTGGGTTTGTTTGTCTGGGGGGTGGCACTTTAAACCAGGCTGGCTTGAACACAGAGATCTAGACTCTGCCTCCCCAGCACGGGGAGTACTGTGTGCATTGCTGTGTCCTGCTTGTTTTTAGTGGTCAGCCACTGAGGTGAATGTGTATGTCAAGAATTGAAGGTAATTAATGTAAATGGTAAAGACCTATAGAAGCTACAGTGGAAACACCCGTGTGCGAGGCCTGCAGCAGACTTCAGTTTCAGGAAGTGGTGGTCTTGTGTTTTCAATTTTTCCAACCCCCCTCACCCATCCTGATGACTTTGGGTTTTGTACTTTTGGAAAGAAACTATCCTACACTTAATAATCAACATTTGCTGCACATCCGTTAATCTGCCATGCCATCACTAGGTAATGGAAGACTGAGGCGGGCATGGCGTCCACTCTCATGTGAAGTTCACATTCTGATAGGAAGTGGATTGTGTGAAGGTGTGATTGCCAGAAGTGCTTGTCCAGCTTGTGAATCCCTAGATTTGATTCCCAACACTTAGTAACATGGGGGAGTAATCAGCTTCATGCATTCAAGCTACTAAAAATATGCTGGGCCTCTAGCTCAGTGGTAGAACGTTTGCGCCAAGCCCTGGGTTTGATTTCTGGCACTCCTTCAAGCCTGACCCTGAGTTCAGAAACCACTTAAAAGGCCAGTAGTGCATAATATGCACCTGTAATCCCTGAGCCCTTAGCAGGAGATGGGCGGCTAAGACAGAATTTTCAAATGCTGTAGGTTAGCTAACCTGATCCATGCAGCAGTGAACAAGGCTGAAGTGTTAATTAAACAAGGGCCCTTCATGTTGATACCACGTTGAGAGTCCTGGTGTGGTGTAGGCTTAGGCTGTGTGTTTGGAAAGTGAGTGATGAGAATCTTGATTAAGGTCAGTTACAAGTCTGTCTTCAAAACAGGGCTAAGTCAAGTATGATGGCTTGTGCTCACATTCCCAGCATGAGGAGACTTAAGGGCAAGAATTAGAGTTGAAAGTCAGTGTGGGTTAGTGAAACCCTCACAAAACAGACTTCCACAAACATTTTGTTATCCCGTTCTTCAGGAAACAGGTCTCGGCCACTAAGGCTGAAGCAGAGAAGGATGGAGTGAAGGTCCCCACAACCCTGGCAGAATACTGCATCAAAACTAAAGTGCCTTCCAATGACAACAGCTCAGATTTGCTTTATGACGACTTGTATGACGACGACATTGATGATGAAGATGAGGAGGAAGAAGATGCCGACTGTTATGATGATGATGATTCTGGGAATGAGGAGTCGTGACATGTTCCTTCAGTACCCTGTACTGCCCTGACGTCTCAGGCCAAAGGGAGGGAGCAAGTGGGGATCTATGGTGGCCCCTCAGTGAAAACTTACTCATGGGGTGGGGAAACACACACAGCTCCTGCTGACTCCCCTGCGGATCTCAGTTTGCTCCTTTTTATGGACTTTTACTGGAGAGAAAGTAACCCCCACAGAATGTCTGAATTCTCGCATTCTTCACCCTTCCATCACTGTATTGATTCTTTTAAAACAGACACCACCGCCCTTCAAACTCCCACCTCACTTCATCTCTGCAGAATGTTCACAGCAAAACACGTTTGTCTGTTTTTAGATTCTTGAAGAATTAGTCTGTTTAAGACATCAATGTGTTTAAAGCTGGGAACCCACTGGGAGTCCACAAGTGCTGCATATATTGGGTAGCAAAAGGAAATGGGGGGAAAAAACACAAAACCAAAAAAACAAAAAACAAAAAAAAACAAAACAAAAAAAACCCACAAAACAAACTTTAAAAAAAAAAAAAAAAGCCAATTTGCCAAGGTTTAGCTGCTCCTTCCATTAGTGCGTGTGCATTTGTTCAGCCCCGTGGTGGTGAATTTGTTTCTTTCCCTTCCTGAGGCTGGGGTGGGGTGGGCATCAGGGACTTCCTTCCTCTTGCTAAGCCTGATGAATGTGCTGCTTCTGCCTCTATGACATCATCCCAACATGGAGGCTACAGCTACTCTGAGGAGAGAAATCAGATTTTGTTTTTTGGAATCGATTGGGATCTAAAGCCTGAAATAAATATTCATACTTTACATAGAACTGAGCACTCGGTTGCTATTTATTTTAAAGGTAGGGTAACTTTTTTCTACCAGAAAGTGGGGCAAGTGGGGGGGAGTGGAGGTTAGTGTGTGTGGATTTTAATTATGAAAACAAAAAATTAAAGTTATACCAGCTTTGGTTGTTGCTGTGGGGAAGAGTGAAAATTACTTGTGGCCACTGTCGGGAGAGGAAACATCTCAGATACTCTCACCTGAGGGTTATTTTTGTTTATTCAGTATTAATCCTAGGTGCATGTGTTAAGATTTTGGTTTTCGTTGAGCTGCTTATACTGGTAGTGATAATTTTGGATGTGTGTGACTTGGGACTGGTTGTTTTCCCTCATTGGATATGATCTGGACATCTTTCTCTTCTCAGTGTACTTCGGCCGTGGAGTGCAAGCAGGAATTGTTCCTGGAGCTTCCCCTGGCTTCTGTTTTGTCAGGGCCTCTGTTGACTGCAGGCATTTCCAGTCCAGGCAGTTGTTTCCCTGGACCTCAGTCACATGTTACTCCAGGCAAGACTGAGCTCCTAAACCTCCACCATCTAGGGACTTCAGCAGTGCTATGAAGTAAACCAGTTTTCAGAAGGATAGGTTATTAAGATCCTTGTGTGCCAGTGTCACTCCTTCTTATCTTCAGACAGGAATTGGGGAGGATGGATCCTCCACTGTTGAGTAGGTGGCCCTTCCTCCCATGGTTCCTCCTCCTTCCTTTCTGATCTCAGGGTTTTCATTCACTCTTCAAACACTCCTGAATGAATGCCATTTCCCAGCAGTTCTCTGGCCTCTAAAGTTTAGTCTGGTCCTGAAATTAATCTCCTCAGGGCCAGGGCTGTACCCAAGTCTAGTGATTCAGAAACACAGCTGCTGTGCTGTGCTGTGTAGGACAGTTGTAAAAACTCCCAGAGTTCCCTTCAGTGCTCCCAGATAGCCTACAAACCTGGAGCCAAAGCCTTTCATAGCGCTGATACCCCTGTCCCCACGGCCCCTGAAAGTTTACAGCTAGTAGTTTGGTCTAAACAAGCCTTTCATGAAAACATCGCCTCACTCCTGGGCATGCTAGGCACCTTGGAATTGTTGGAAGTGCCCTGCTGGCCTGTGTGGCATGGTGGCCCCTCAGCCTTTGTTGACATTACTGAAGGCTAGCTTTGCATTTGATGGGAGGGCAGGCAGTTCAAAGGCTATACTGACTGGCTGGCAGGCAGACACTGGCAGTTAGACTGAGTGACAAGTTAGTGGTCAGTCTTTGGTCCCTCAGAACATGTCCTGTGGAAAACTTCTTGAGTGTATTTTTTCACTTTTGGGGGTAGATGGAGGTCTCCGCAGCAGGTAGAACTTTGGGTATAGGTGGTTATTTGGCATGAAAAGAACAAGATTTTTTTAGTCTAATCAAGGCCTCACTGAATGAATGCTCCTTACTTCCATGTACCCTGAGGCTGTGGGGAGAAAGTGTGTAGTATCATGATTCTCTTGTTGCTTCTCAGTCTCCTCACTTCTCTTATCATTCCAGAATTCTATGAGCCTCGCTCTACTTTTGTAGTCCCTTCTTTCCTCCTTCCTGGCCATTATATGCTAGTTCCCTTATGTTTGGTCCTGTCCATTGGAAGGGAAATGCATAGCTCTCTTGGAAAATTACCCTCCCTCCTGCCCTGATACACAAGGTTTACATTTACAACTAAAAAGATTCAGATGCAATTTTCAACTGAAACCAGCAGACACACCTGACTTTAATAGTTTTCTTAGCTAAAATTATAGATGGTTTTTCAGTTTTAACTTATGAGAAAAAAGTTTATCCAATGCATTTTGTGTTGACTTCCCCTTAGTGATTTATTTTGTCTTTTTCTGCCCACCTGTCTACTAATAAAAATGTGAAATAAAATACACCTGTATTGCTATTGGGTGATCCCCTCCCACCCACCTCCCTTAAAAAATATATCTCACTGTCACCAGTTAAAATGTTAAAACCATTACTTGGGCTCCACCAACCTTTTCGTAGAAGCTACCTTCTGTAGTCAAGGCCACTTGTTGCTATCCATGGGCAAACACTTTGTGTTCGTTGTCATTAAGAATCGCAGAGAACATGGCAGGCAGCACATATTCAGTCCCCTCATTCATGAGTTGGAGAACAAGGACGGACGTGACTGTGTGACTGACAGCACCCTAAGCTACAGGTGTGTTATGACCAGCCACGCTCTCCTCATGACAGCAGAGGTTGCCCGTCATTGTGACCCTCAAACCCTCCAATCCCATGGGAACAGATGTGGCCTGCTTCAACAGTGCACTAACCCCACTTCTGCCTGGGTCCTGGGACTACATGGGCACCCTCCCCTCCCCACCCACCCCACAATGAGCTGTGACACTCACTTCAGGATACCAGGCATTGCCTGGCACAGCCTGTGACAGTCAGTGAAAGCAAAGGTTCTGGCACTTGGCTTCCCTCTGTATCATAGTCAGTTGGGGTTTGGACAGCACTCACTACCCTGGCACTCCTGTTCTCTGAAGAATATAAAGGTGGCCCCTGGTCCCAAGTTTTACTGAGAGGTGGTCAGAAAAGCCACACTAGCTTTCATAGGTACAGCCTAGGCCCTGAAGAGAAAGGTTAAAAGAAGATGGCGGTTCAAATGGCCATCCCTGTGAGGTCTGTTACTCTCCCAAGCCATCCTTAGTTACAGTACACAGAGACCCAGCATGCTCTCAAGAACTTTATTAGGTGGAGTTTGGGTGAGAGAAAACCCTGAAGCAGTTGCCCACCTGGTTTGGGACAACTGGTATAGAGGAGCCTTTGTTTGGAGACAGGCTTTCACTGAGATGGAAGCAGATCTTTGATTTCTTTCTAAGGGAGCTGACGGGCTGAACATCTCTGAGACCCAGTTCAGATTCTTCTTTAAATGGTTGGTCAAAGGCAAGCCCCTAGGGCAGGACCAGACCAAAAGCAGAAGGCCCTGCTGTGCAGGCATCATCTCTGCTATTCCCAGCTGAAGATTTGTTAGAAGGGGGACCATGACAAATGACAAAAGGATCAGTTTCTCAACAAGTATGAAGTAATTACAGAAGGAAGAAACAATATTTCACAGGGAGCGAGATAAAGAAAAGTCGTGATTCTTCATTGGTACCTGACCCCAGTCCCCAAACCACCATCCCTTTAGTGGCACACCAGACAGCTCCTGAGCTGGGAGCCACGTGGAAGGCCTAGAGGCAGAAGGGGGGGGGAGGGGTGGACTTGGCTACAGTGAGGATGTCCAGATGGGGACAGCACACTTGTATGCTGCCCAGTAGCCACACCCCAGTCCCTCCAGGCTTCTATCACATTTACAAATACATACATAAATACATTACATACAACAGTGGGTCTGGGAGGCAGGCTTCCCACAGAGGCTCAGCTGACAGTTATGTCTCAGAATTCTAGGAAAGGGCACCGGGCTCCCAGAAATGTGCTCCACGTGTTCTCTCCTGCACAAGAGCCCACCCTCTTGTTTTCAGGGTCTAGTTTGTCCAGTACGGAGAGTTGCCATAGGTGGGTTTGGAGGCTTGAGTCTTGGGCTGCAGGGAGCTGGGCTGGTTGCGCTGAGCAGAGCCACTCTGAGGAGGAAGAGGAGAAAAGGCTATAATGGGTAGCACACAACCCCAGGCCCAGGGCAGGCAGGCTGCCTCCATCCCTGCGCTCACCGGGCTGTCCTGTGGAAGGTGGTGGTGTAGCAGCTGGGCGTGGGGCTGCTGGTGGGCAGGCATGAGATGCAGGAACGGTGCGGGCGCATAACCAGGGGCTGCTCCAGGGGCCAGGGGCCCAGTGGAGCCCAAGGCAGAGGGCAGGCTGAAAGGTGGGGGTGTCCCTGCGTGAAATCCCTGCTTGTCAAACGTCTGTAGGGCAAAGATGACAATGAGAAGGCCAGGCTGAACTGATGTCTCCCCACTCCCCAACTACCTGCCCACCTTTGTATACCCTCACCTGTGTCTTGTTATAGACAGAACCAGTCATATCCGGTAGGCCAGTGGTGCCTGAAGACACTGATACTCCTAGGACAAAAAACAGTTGTTCCCCACAGCATTCAGTGCCAGTTCCAAAGACTGGCAGGGTAGCCCTGCCTCAGAGTCAGATAGGAGACAACTATTACAGGTGAGGACCTGACACTACCTTTGCCAGGCCCAGATCCAGCTGACTTGTTTGGTGCCTGTGATGATCCACCATAGCCACCCTTGGTGTAGTCTCCTGCCGCTGTCCCCTGGGTCAAATCATCATAACCTAGCATGGCAGGGTACAAGAAAGAGGCATGTGTTGGCTAAGCAAGTCTGTCCTACCCTGTGCCCCTCAGTGCAGGGGGTATGCCCTTACCTGTGCTGTAAGTGTGTTGCCCATAGCCACTGGCCTGCTGAAAAGGGGTAGGGGGTGTGTTGAGGGTCACACCATGCTGCTTGGCCGAGGTTGGCGGGACCTAGTGGGACAAGCAGGTGAGGTTTGAGTGTGTCAGAATAAGGCAAAGAGGAGATCAGGCAGCCTCAGACAAAACCAAGTCACAACCAAGAGAATCAGTCTTTTCATGAATGCAATCCATTAGGGATCTGAAGGCAGCTGGGGAATGGACTCTGACCCCTGAGCAATCCTGAAGGCCAGATGTAACTGACAGACGCTGGAAAATATGTCCAGGGTTTCAACCTTTGAGGAAGCCACAGCCCAGGGAGCACCCTGCAGAAATACTCACAAACATAGTGGGCCCATACTGGAAGGCACTGGGCACGCCTGTGTAATAGGGGAGGCCAGTATAGCTGTAGCCAGGTGGCAGAGCAGGATTCAAAAAGGGCTGCTGTGCCGTGTGGTGGGTCTGAGATTGGCTCTGCTGTGCCTGAGCTGGTGTCGTTGGAGGTGCAGGGGATGCAGAGTCTCCTCGGCCAAACTTTGTGGTATCACCTAGAAGAACCAGGATGGCTGTTACAAACACGAACAGGAACTGCCAGCTCAGGACTCATACCTTCAAGCACCTCAGCCTTTCTGGCCTCCAATTGCTAGCTCC